TGTGGTGCTGGGGGATTGAACCGCGGTCCCTGATGCCTTGCCAAGCTTGTTCTAAGTAGGTGCCTTAGACCACTGAGCCATCTCTCCAGCCCTGTAACTATTTTTTAATGTTCCTTTTTTTCTTTCCCTTTTCTTCTCTAGTTCTAATTAGCACTTTTAATGATGCTTTTCATCTCTTCTCAAATGACGTCAATGATAATTCTATAAAAGGATTTTTAGTGGTGGCCTTAGTTCTTGGAATCTATTTTTATAAATAAGCTAAGTCTAGTTTCCAGTGATGCCGTAGTGTTTCCTGGTGGCACAGGTGCCTTGTAACAAAGCCTTCCTAAGTCATCAGCCCCATCCTTCAGCCATTCATCTTACTCTTTCACTGATCCACGGGCTGTCATCACCCAGTATACTGCTCTATCACTTTGAAAAAAAGTTGTCTAGTAAATATGTTTTTTATTTTAAAGTTGGTGAAAGCATTTTGTTATGGGGCCTAGGGAGGCTTCCTTGTTCGCCCTAACGAAGTGTGCAGTTCTGGCGGCTCCATCTGCAAGGCTGCGAATGACACTGTGAAGAACACTTTCTTTTCCTATGTTCTTTGGGGCGGTTGTACAGTAGACTCTAGTAAATTCATTAATAAGAAAATACAAGATTTTATTTTGCCTGTATTTGTTTCTTTCCTGATACTCTTCCATTTTCATGTAGATCCAAACTCCCCCCTGCTTTTTTTTTTTTCTATTCTTTCTTAAAAGTTTTATTTGGTTCCAGGCATCGAACTCAGGATCTCACACTCACCAGGCAGGCGCTGTGCCGCTGAGCTGTATCCCTGGCCTTCGTTCTGTTTCCTCCCTCCCTTCTTTCTTGTGTTGGGAATGGACCCAGCCCTGGTGCACGCTAAGTGCATACTTGACCGCAGAGCTGTATCCCCACTTCTGAGCTTCTGATATACACCATTCTTTTAATAACATTTCTTGCAAAACAGTTCTTCTAACAGCAAATTCTTTCCCTTTTTGTTTATCTGAGAAATTCTTTGTTTCTTAGTCTTTTTTTTTTTAAATTTATTTATTTTATTTATGTGTGTGTGTGTGTGTGGCCAACTCAGCCCACCAGGGGGCGGGGCTGGCTGGCATGTGGTGCTGGGGATTGAACCGCGGTCCCTGTGCTTTGCTAAGCTTGTTCTGAGTAGGTGCTTTAGACCACTGAGCCATCTCTCCAGCCCGTGTTTCTTAGTCTTATGTTGGTACCAAACTGCTTTGAGACTTGTTGAATTTGGCAATTAATTCATTCTAACTTGAGAATTTTGCTCTGGTGCTCCTCATTTGTTTGGTATGCAAAATGCAAGTAGAACTTGTTGGTGTTGAATGCCTCATGACCCTTTCCAGTCAAAACAATTTGTTTGGTACTCATCGAACCTTCTGGAACCAATGAACAGTATCAAGGTATGACTGTAGTTTAATGTGTAATTTTGCTGAATACAAAAAGAAATCCAGGACTTTTTTTTCTTTCAATACTCTAAAACTTTCACTCTGTTTTTTTTTTTCTTGATTGCTTTTTTTTTTTTTTTTTTTGAGACAGAATGTCACTATGCAATTCAGGCTGGCCTTGAGCTCACTTTTTCAGCCCAGGCTGATCTCAAACTCACTGCCTCAGCCTTCTGAGTGCTGGGATTACAGACCTGTGCCACCACACAAATTTCTGATACAAAGTACATAGTAACTCATATCCTTATTCCTCCGGAAGTTTATTTTTAAATCTTGATCTCTTCAAAAGATTTTTTCTTTGTCTTTGGTTTTGTGTAGTTTGAATATGATACGTCCTTGTATGGATATTTTGTATTTGTCTAATTTGTGTTCTCTGAACTTTCTGTTTTAATTTTTTCTATTTTATAAAGAGAGTACAAACTAGAATTAAACTAGAAAAATTACAAATGATACAGAATTTCACTTAACAAACTAATATGAATTTCACAGTATTTGTTGTAATACATAGTCTTATCTTCCAATCAGTTATTCATATTACACTTTCTGGACTTGTTTCAATTCCATTATTAAATTTGAAGCATTCTTAAAGTGTGCCATGGGGAGAAGACACTCTCTCAGGCTTTCACAGAGAGCACATTGGCCAAGCATTGGCCGTGACTCATCCACATGGCTG